ATGCCATCGCTAGCAATGCTCAACTTCAGCTGCTACCAAATCCGTGCGAAACCGATTTGCGCGTGAGATTCTTCGAGTGCTGACAGATCGTGAAGTGTGCACACGTGGATCTTTCTTGCTCTGATGCTTGCCAAGCTTGGCTCGGGTTTGGCGGTGCCCTGACTGCTTCGCCAAACAGAAGACAGACAACTAGAGAACTTGTGACAGTTGCAGTCCATGTTATACGTCCTCACACATACAGCCAGGGGACGCGTGCACAGGTCCGATGCAAACCTTTGCCTGCAGCGGAACACACGCAGACATGCGGGCACACCGTTGCGAAGCCTGTTGCCGGTGTGAGCTGTGAGAGCAGTCTTCCTTTTGGTAGTTCTGCCGTGGAGGGAGGGGGCTTGGGGGCGGCTTTTTGGTACAGGTTGCTTACGCAGATGGGTGGTTGGGGGCTTGACAGGTTGCTTGTGCCCCATTCTGAAATACAAATTCTACCGCTGCCGGGAATGATGAGATGTTTACTTTCGCAGCCTGACGAGCCTGGCTCGGGCGAATCGTAGCCCATAGTGGCCATAGTGAAGATGTTGTGACCTACTTTGGTGGAGATCGAGGCCCCTTTAGAAGAGATGCAAAACAGACGAGAGGAGAGCATTTACCTGTTGCGGTCCATGTTGTGCATCCTGACACATACAGCCAACGCATGCGCATGTCGAGGGCTTACCTCTGCGGTACACAAGCACATACATGAGTGCACATCCTTGCGAAGTCTTGTGCCACTGTGGGGGATGAAGGGGATCGGGTGTTTTTCCTTTAGGCCGCCCGCCCTTCCCAGCTTGTTGGCGCATCACGTTAAAGACGGCTCGTCAGCTGGAAAGATTCGGAGCTCCAGGATGAGGCGCCCAGGGACGGCAAGAATGGCTACAATGACCCTGGCACCAATTAGGCTGGAGAAGGCCATTGAGTCCTTTCCGGGTAAACGTTCGCCTTCGCGCCCAGTGCATCGAGCTCTCCTACTTTCGGGAGCACATCTGCCTGAACATCCGGTGCCGAGCTGCTTGAAAGACATAGGGTCAATCTTGTGCAACTTATTTTCAGGAAGCTGATTTACATAGTCGGGCCCCGAAGAAGCAGCCGCGGCTAAGTTGTCCTTCTTGGACATGCGGACCTCAATCGGGCCAAGCACAGGGATGGCCGGAAGGAAGTATCCCTGCAAGAAGGACCGGGCCACAAACGGAAGCAACGGTGGAAGGTGCCAAGAAAGGAAAATGGTCGCCGGGGCACATTGTATCCGACCACGGCCATCGAGGTGTGGAGGCCGCCTTGAGATCCTAAGGATGACGATGACGAAAAGGATGGGGACATCTTTCGCCCACTCCATCACGCTGCCCCCACGATTATGATATCGTCGTAGAGATCGACCAAGCAGACTGTCGACGAGAAACAAATGATGCCGAGAGTTGTGCTGGGTGCATGCTAGCCAAGAGATTGTCCATGTATTACTTGTGTCGTTTAACTCAACAATCGATCCAGCAAGGACCTTGACACTGAGCCTACAAGCCTAGGCGGACTATAGGCCTCAGAACCTGTGCCCGTGGTCGCGTTGTTCATTGTCAGGTTCGCCGCGCTGCTTCACGATTCAGTTCGCAGTGTGCATCTCAAGGCGTTTGTGTCGAAGGAGAGTCGTGTGGCTCTCCTGTTCGCATGTTCTGCGACTCAGGAGTTGAGGCCTCCCTGTCCGCAGAGGAGTGCAATAGGCCAATACTAAAACACAAAACGGCGTCCGCCCCGAACCCCAAAACCCTAGAAACCCAAGCTGCGCCCCGTCGCTTTGTGCAGACCGCTCTCAAATGCAGCATGCACGGCTGATGACTGATGCTGCAGCATTAAGCTGCTGCTAACGATCGATCCTTCTGTTCCTGATAACTGCAAAGAGCATGCCGAGAGACCGAGACAGCACAGTGGTTTTTGCTTGCACCTCCAGGTCGCGGGGCCTTGTGGCGGTGTTGGCAGCAACTGGTGCGGGCTTGTCAAGCAATGATGTATATGCTGCAGCTGGCCTTGTCTGCATGGACGACCAAGCCACTGAGGATTTGGTATTGGGCGAGGTCGTTACATCGACGAACATGCAGCCGGGCCAGGACTACTGCGGCTTAATTTTTTCCGTGGGCTTGGCAAGGGATGAAGATTCTTTTGTTCCAGAGCAAAAGCGCAGTGTTTTCCATGTGTGCCTGCTGCATGGTGGAAAAAAATCAAAACGCGTTGCCAACACACCACCACCCTCCCCCCTCGCAAAACTACCAGCACGGTACTTCAGCCTCCTCCATGGCCGCCTAGCAGCGGGCCTAGCAAAGGAGGTTTGGGAAGATGTGCAAAAATTAGAAAAGAGTGGCTTCCAAGTTGAGTCGAAGTCAAGAAGAAGATAAATGCCAAAATTTTTTAGCCCATCATCCCAAACTTTGCTTCCGAGATGTGCTGGAGACGAGTTCCGTTGATCCTTTTGTTCCTGCATGTTCCTGCATGTTCCTGCGCAATCCTGACATGGCTGGCCTCGGGCGTTGAATTGTTGCCAATTGGTTACATGCACCAGCAGCCACCTCGCAAGGCCCACGAAACCGGAGCTGCTTGGAAAACCTCACTGGATGGCCCAGGCTTTTCCGAGCTATCCCCACATCGCCAACCACGCCAACGTCGAAATCTTTCCCAGAGGCTCTGGTACGATTCTTGGCAAGTTTGGTCTCCCACATTATCCTTTCGGAGCCTACGCCCCTGTATTGGCCAGGTTTCGCACACCGTATCCTCCTCATGTGCATTCGATGCGAGACACATCTGGCTAAAACTCGCCATGCGTGTTTTAACTCTGGTCTTTTTCCATCTTGGTGGCAAAACACGCGACGCGCTACACCTCGGATTTCGTGATCTCTTTGCGGACGGACAACGAAGGTAATGCCTACTCAGCCACGAAAAAGGCGGCAAAGATTGGATGGACTCGGCGTTCTCATGCAACTGGTATCTCAGTAGACGACGTGGGGGACTTTCCTCATCTTCAACCACGTCAAGAGATACCCCAACACTTGGGCGGATCAGTTGGTGCACCTGGACTTCACGGGTTCATGTACCGTGGAGGACCTCATGAGGATCAAGGGCCAGGAGGCCCTTACTCCGGCTCGGTTGCCTCAAGCACTGATATCATTGCAAAACAGGTCAAAGTTAGTGCGCGGGCCACTCAATCGTGTTCCGTGGACATGACGGGATCACACGAAGCAGGGGTAATGAATACCCGCTCTTTTCCGAGTTTCCGATACAGGCTACAGGCGTTTCCGAGCTATCCAGCCCTTCGGGTCTGGATCGGCTGCAAAGGCTGCATTTGGGATTGTTCCAGAATTTTTTTGTCACCATCACATGACCGCGCGAAGTTTGGGTGGACTGTATCTAGGTCCGCCCATGGATGATTTGCCGAATATCATGGTTAGCCTGTGGATGCTTTGGGGAATGGATGAGGTGTGTGAGCATATGCATACGTATATGATATGTATATGAAAATGTATATGTATATGTACATGTATATGTATGTGAATGTGTATGTGTATGCGTATGCGTATGTGTATGTGTATGTGTATGTGTACATGTATGGGCATGTGTATGTGTTTTTGTATATGTATATAATGTACGTAGATGTAAATGTATATGCAAATGCATACGTGCATTTTTTCAAGAGCATTGTGCAGAGATGTGGTTCAGTATGGCCTCTGCAATGTCCGTTTCTGTAAACTTCTATGTATAGGCACATGTAAATTTACATATGCAGGTAGACGTATATGTGTATGTGAATATAAATGTATATGTACATGTAAATGTAAATACACATACATATGATTGTATTTGTATATGTACATAGGAGTCTATGTTATTCGCATGTGTACGTCCATGTGTATTCCGTTTTGTCGACGTCCGAGTGTATGTTTACGCACGTGCATCTGATCTGTTTATGTTTGTGGGTTTGGGTAAGATGATGAATGTTGTGCAGGTTTTGTTGCATGTTGCGTGTTGTACGTACGTGATATGCCTTATGCATTCTTATGCTATATGCTATATTTATGTCGTGTGTTGTGCGTTGTATGTTGTGTGTTGTATGTTGGTGTTACATCATAGCACGAGAATACACATATCCGTTGAAATTCGTCACATAGACACGTTCTATATTTTCATGGTGCGTGTCAGACTGTTGCATGCTATCTGTTTAATGTTCAGTGCGGTGTATTAAATGTTGTATGTCACTGTCTGTTTTACATGCTATGTTTTTTGTTTTATGCTATACATCATCTCATATGTTTGTGAATGTGTCGGTGTATTTAGCATGTATCGTTTCTGCAGGTGCAGCCGTGGGCCAGCTGGGCACAAAAGGTGCCCGAGGCCGGCCTCATGATCTTCGTCGTCTCGTCGTCGCCTCAAAGATCGACTAATGGCTGTGCAACTGAAGTGAGCTGAAGAGTTCAAGCTGCGCTTTTGAGGTTTGCGCCGTGCTACTGCTTGCTTCGACGGCCCGCGGCTCTGCGAGTGCCTTGGTCTCAAGATGGACTCTTCCGGTGAGTCGGTGAGTGCCCAGTTTCACCCTTGCCGTTGTCTTGTCCTTGAAAACATGACTCCGCCTTTGATGACATCGCTTAACTTCAGCATGAAATGCGAGGCGGCTCCTTCGCATCTCCTTGACGAGCCAATGCTGCCAGGATGAAAAAGTAGCGGTGGGAGGCTGTGCTTTGCATTTAAACTTGCAGTGGCTTTACAGTCAACATACCTTTAACTTACATATGCAAATCCAGCTTGAATGTTTACCATGCGAGCAGAGTAGGTAGTGCGGTGTCATGTCCAGACGTTTTTGCGAAGTCAAACCACGGGAAATCACGGAAGGACGTCCCTGCATGCCCTGATTTCCTGACCCACGGTGCCAAATCACTAAGTAGTAGCACCACACGGAATAGAAATATAGGGTCAACGCTGTGACGACAGATGGCCAGGCAGTACTATCTGGCATCTGAGTTGAAGCAGGCTTCCGGTTTGCTTGTTTTGATGCGCATGCCTTGTCTGTGATAGTTCTGATGAAGCCAAAACTCTGTCCGACTCGATACAATTTTCAAGCATGGCCTCAATTGCTGGCAGTTTCTGCCGCCGAATCGCAAGACCATCACAGCGATGCAGCTGGTCCATGGCTTTCATTCGTGGCGGAGTGTGTTAGCTTCCGCTTTCATTCGGGGTGTACTCGCGATGGGTTCTCGTGCTGCCGCGAGGGCGGGCTGGCTTGAGGCACCAGAAGACATAAAGTACGTCGGCTACCTGGCTCCAGACAAGGCGCCATCGGATGCCAGCAACACTCGGCGGCCTCAAGCAGAATGTGGTCATTCCTGCAGGAGAAGAGTCCCAACAAGCTGACGGAATACGTCATCCTGGGTCCAGCAGCTTCTAAAAAAATTAGAGCTGTGGACATGGCGAGCAGCTAACGTCTGTGTCACCGGATCCCAAGGTCAGTGACGTACTGAAGTACGAGTTCAAGAATCAGTGCGAGGCCCTATCGTTTGGCACAAGGAAGAAACCATCAATTCAGGCAGCACATGGGTGTGACTTGCGCCTGGCAGGTGTATGCTGTGAATCCATCTTTCAGGCAGGCAGTACTGGCTACCTCAACTGTCATCACAGCTAGATGCGATCAACTGTCATCCCTGGGCTGCTTCCTGGTAGTAGGCCCTCGCCAGAACAATGCTCTCAGTTGCCATGGCAACTCTGGCTCATGTCGTTGAGAGGCAGTGGCAGAAGGACGTCGACAAAGTGATTCCTCGCAAGGCTTCTGCACTGGCCTGCGGGAGAGCAGAGGCACACGGTCCTCGCTGCTTCTCTGAGGACGTGCACATTGCCGTCGTCGCAGCTGGCACTGCTGTTGCTCAGTGGCACGTAGTGGCCCTTAGTGGCACTTAGTGGCACTGTAGTCGTCCTGCCTTCCCTTGGTCTGTCCCTTTCGCATGTCGGGAAATGATGCTTGGGGCTGAAGCCCCCTAAAGCCATTCCCGAGAAGCCAAGCCCATCAGTGTTCAAGGAATTTCTGGATTGGTTGGCGCAAGTAGATGCAAGTAGTGTGCAGAGACACGGAAACATGGGATACGAAGCCCAAGTTGTACCTGCAGAGCAATGTTAGACAAAGAGTTGCAACTTGGCTTGACGACAATGAAGATCCCTCGCTTGAAGATCCGTTACTGTCATTTTCCGTTTTTGCACGGCAACTTGCTCCAAGAAGCGCCTTGGGAAGAAGATCCTGATCCAGGGCCTCGCGCAAGTATCTGCTGTTCTCAGCTCAGCCCGCGTTAAAGGCCAGGGTGCTGAAGACTTCATGTCGAGTGCCAGTCCGGCCTGGAATCCGATGTCTCTGAGGCCCTTACTGCCGAGGGCTTTGCACTCAGCTTCAAGTTTTCTCTTGCTTAGCAGCTGTAAACATCCAGCCCTTATGGTTGCTCTTGTGCATTTGTTCAGGTCGTGCTTTGCTGGTGTGTGATGCACAAGACGAGGAAGTCCTCGGCGGAAAGATGGAGGATGCTTCAGCCAACATGACCGAGCAGAATACACACCTATCAAAGCATAACTTGCGAGCTTGGTGAGGATCGTTATCTCTTGTACTCGTAGTATCTCGCAGTTAATACTTGTTGGAGTGAGCTGGTGCATGATCCTTCCCAGTTTACCAAGCTTCAGCATTGCAGGAGCTGTTGGAGGCTCAGGAGTGGAAGGCGCGCACGTCGCACAGGTTTGGTAGCACGCGTGGCACGTCTCGTGCCAGGATCTGGAGAAGACTGGTGACTTGCCTCCAGATCCCGAGAAGACTGCCTGGTGCTGAAGGAAAGTTGGATGTCACTCGTAGCTCTGAGTGCTGACATGCGAATCCGTGTGAGCAAGGCAGCCCTGGAAGTGCTCCAACAGGGTCGGTTGAGGCCACCGGCCACACTTCTGAAGCTTGTGGTGTCGGACTTGCCAGATATTCGGTCAATTCTGATTTGTTGCAGCGCCGCTCAAGCTGAAGTCGCTGGCATACTCGGCAATCAGACATTCCCAAACAACAGCTGCAGTGCGAAGACTACGACCAAGACTCGACTGGTCAGATTAGAAGAATCGGGTTTCACTATTGCATGAAGATGGTGTAGAATGTAGGAGACATTGAAGGTAGCTTTTCCTGGTTGTCGTGGCTGCCATGGGCACGCTCGGCCAGTTACGGCGCTTCAGAGTGGCGTTGTTCACCTAGCAGGTTTCGGTGGGCAGCTGCCTAAAGGCAATGACCACCGATATCAAAGTGTGTCAGGCTCCCAGCAAGTGGATGCAGCGCGCCGATGAGTGTCGTACATGATGAAGCTAAGCTTGCTATGCATGACCCGGGCACACTCACAGAGAACAATAACGTCCAGGACTTTCTGCTCCCATTCCGCAGAGATTGTCATGCTCATCCCTAACCCTTGGCAGTAAAAAGCTTTCTCAGACATCCTGTGTCGTGCTGAGATGAATTGGGCGACTTGCACGAAGTCCACAAGAGGTGCGGTGCCGGCGTGTCGCATGCAAAGCGTAGACCTCATTTCCAGAGGCGGCTGCTCGAGGCGGCTCGAACGGCCAGCATTCAGGAGGCCCTGACAGACTCCTTACCCCCTTTGAAGGGCACCATCAATATGTATGAAGTTTGACAAGGTCGAGGCTCTCTTGGAGATGGGTCTGTGTCTCAGAGTGTCAGGCCTGGCCTTCGCAAATCGGAATGCAGTCAAAACAAAGTTTGATCAGGATCAACAAGCAATTTAAACGCTACGCGACCCCACCTCGGCCGGCTGTAAAAAGGTTCAAAATATCGCTCAAGCCTGCAAGCCATACTGGCTGTGCTGTTGTTGGAGGGGGGACAACAACATGACGGGGCTCCTGCTTTTGTCACATATCATAAACCCTTAAATAACACGATTAAGCCTTTTTGACATGCTTCTGAAATCCGTCAACATGCCATTAAGACCCTTCCAAAGCCCGTTCGAATACCATTAAAACCCTCAATGCCCTTCCGAAACCCTTTAACATGCAATTCAAACTCTTCTAGAGGCCTTCTGACTAAAACGTTTAAAGACACCATCAAACCGTTCTACAGCCCTTCCGAAACGCTTCGAGATACCGTTAACACCGTCATAAATGAAGCCCTTGTTTCAACCCTTCAAGACGTCACTAAAACACTTCTTCAGACGCTTCAAAAAAGCCATTAGTAAACCGCACTACCGCTGTGTTTTTGTTTCCGGGGGGGGGGGGGGGNNTGGGGGGGGGGGGTAACAAGCGTATCCCAAGAGCATCCCGAACGCTCCAAGATCCAACCATAAATCTCCTTCAAAAATGGGAAGCGATGTAATGGCAGGGCTACAGAAACACATGAACCTTTGCCTGTCTGGACCAGCTGTGCAGAGTCTGCTGCAAGGGAGGCATTGACCTGGGTGGCTACGTGAATGGGAGCAACTCCTTCCTCCTCAACAACTGAAACCTGACCCGTCTGGACACGTGCTTCCTATAGGAACCATAGGAATGTGGTTCAAGATTTTGCAGGGCGCTTGCCAGCATTTCACAGGCATCATGCTGTTCCCATCTTATTCCTGACAACGTTGCGTGTTCCGCTGTTATGCGAACCAGCGTGCTAATGTTCCGTGCATCTTTGAGCAACCCCTCGCGCAGTTCCGAAAGAGCCAAAACAGGGCCTGGATTGCTGAGTTAGCGTAGCAATGGTTTGGACGTGCTAGCTAGTAGCAGGAACCCCTTCGGTGTAAAGACTGTGATTCCAGTCCCAACTGTCCTTGAAGCAAGCGAAGAGGCATTGTACGCAGCCGGATCTGCCTGAGCTCTGCGGGGGTCGTGCTCTCTGGGAAGCCAGCTCAACTCTTGTTGCTGTGACTCCTGCAGAACGTGTGCCTGGAGCACTGGCATCAGTGGCAGACAATTGCCGGACGTCTCGGCCCGGGGCGTCATCTTTCATTGCACACAAACGACACGACTCTCCCTTGTGCAAGAGGCATCTGAATTGCGAGATCCTGGAATGGATACTGGGCTGGACCCTTTGCAAGACCTCCGGATGTTGTTCATCGATCACCCTCTTGGTGCCCGCTATGGCCTGCCCACGCAGTGTACAGGTGTCCCAAGGTCGAGTGAAAATTTGCGTTCCTGGCAGCATCCCCTGGGCACGTAGCGAAGCTGCCCCGACCTCAGCCATGTGAGACTCTATGCTAAAGGTGGAGTCTATTGAGTCTATTGGCAGCTCTTCCGACCTCCGCATAGTCGAGACATTCTTGGGCAGGTGAAGATAGAAGAAGGTGCAAACGATTTCCTGCAGGCCTGACGTCTGGGCCTTCACGTGTTGAGTGCCTGGGGTCAAACTTGGGACCTTCCAGCGATGATGAGATCTTTGGATGATATTTTTAGATCGTGTCTTCTGAGAGCAGCTGTCCAAGCACTCTCTGCTGTCTCCTCAGCTAGAGAAGTAGATTCTACCGGGTCCTCTAGAGCCTGTTTCACCCGAAGGGCCCTATACGGACAAAGAAAGCTCCTCTCCCGCCTACCGCTTCCTCAGTTTGCCTTGATACAAAGGTCTTAGGGAAGTGCTTTCGGCGGAGTAGCCACGTGTTGGCTCCTTGGTGTCCTGGGAGCAACTGCGCAACACAAAACAAAGCTGGTATGACATGTTCGCGGAGAGCTTTGCTAGTCCAGGCTCACACAACCTTACTACATGCAATGCGTACATTGCTGAAGGGAGACCAGGCAGTCACGAGTCACGTGCCATATGGGCTGCCTTCGCCTCTCAGGGAGAGACCTGCTATTCCGCACTGCATGAGCTACCTCTTTGACACGCTTTGCTGGCTGCCAATCTGTGTCGCAGAGTTCTGGCTTCGTAGTCCTGACACGAGATTATGTTTCCTAGGCAGGGGGCCTAGTTTGATGTAAGTGGACCCCTTTCTTTTGCTGCTGATTTCTTCTCGCATCTTCTGAGCAGAATCTCCGTGGAGCTGGAGTGGTAGGGCAGACTTGCTCGGATTTACCCTGAAGCCCAGTGCTACAAGCTGGTCCAGCAGGATGTCACACATGTTTCATGCCTCAGTCAGCTCTGCATGATCATCGAGGTGAATCTCTGTGCGACGAGGTCCGCATACATGGTGAGAATTTTGGCCAGTAGCGACGGGTCGCAGCGACCGCCAGTTGGAAGGGGTCATCTCACAGAGAGCACTTACATGCAGATTGCCGCCTGTCCCAAGCAGCTCAAAAAATCCCATTGTTGCCTGTTCTTCCTGTGCTTTGAGGAATAGGCCCCGAGAATCCCTAGAATCCCGTAGCTGAACCTGATCTTGGCTTATATACCATCTTTGAAGGCGCGGATACCCTTGTAGAGGGAGTGGCTCCCAGCTTTTATTGGCTCGGCCAGCAGCTGCCTCTAGTTGTGAATCAATGGTAGATTGCCTCTCAGCTTGTTTCCGATGTTTGGCCATCCTCGCCGCCGCACTCTGCGAGGAGAACGACATCCAAATCGGCCAGACCACCTTGAGATGCAGATCGGGGATATAGTCTGCTAGAGCTACAAATGTCTCAGATAGCGACCGGAGAATCCTACCGGAACTCTGCCGCTTGTTGCCGGTTAGCCCGGAACAGCTCCTGGGATGTCGAGTGCCTGGCACTTCTGATATTATCCCACGTGGGCTCTTGACATGCTAGGATTTGAGAACCGAGATTCTATGATCCCCTCGCTCCATAGCAGCTCTCCATTTCCATTTGGTCATGCTTCGGCAGCTGACTCGGGTAGCACCTCCTGCGGTGCAGTGGTAATCCCCTTGCCTGCAACGGAAAGTGCCGACTTCCCTCTGGACCTTCAACATAGTTTATCTGTGAGACATAGTTCCCTTGCATGTGCGTTGCTGGTTTCTTTACGGTCGAGGTGTCGGCGGCCACTAGCTGGTGTCGTTCTAGCAAGGTCTGCAGACAGAAGATCCTCGGTGTCTCTTCAAAGTGCAAGGCCCGACATGCTTGTGATCTGTCTTGAGGGACATGTAAAAATCACCTGCTACCAACAATGTGCTGCATCTGGGAATGTTGCCCCGCGCGTTTCCCGAGGATCTGATGAGGTGGTTGCGTGACTCCTTCTTCGCCGTGTCCGCTTCACCGGCCCGCCGTACGTGTTGATAGCACGAGATCACATCTAGTGGTATGTCCTGGCCCGGAATTCTGACATGAAGAATCCGAGCCGGGACAATTTCATTGAACTTCAGTTGCTTGCTGCGACACAGAGAGTTATGAGCCATAACTGGCTCCCTACCTTGAAACCTGAACTAGCCACGTTCCACTCTCCCCTGCTGAAATGCCAACTCCCTCGCCAGTGTCCGTGTGTTTCCTGGACAGCTACCACCTTGACCTGTCTATACGGCGTAGATTCAGATTGCAGAAGGCAGAGTAACTCTTCCCACGCTGCAATAGTTAGCGATCCCTTGTTCCAGGAAAGATACTCAATCCTTGTTGTTTCCTTGTAGCTTGTCTTATGAACCCTCGGGGGCGCTTTGCTGTCCGTGCTCACTTTGGGAGTACCTCCTAACTGCACAAGCGTGAGGATCTTGCCCTTAAAATCGTACTGCCTTGCCAGTGTTGTGCCAGGCTTTCTTGCCTTCTCCATAATGAGTAGGCTGATTGCTTCGGGTCGAGTCACGTTGCTGTTTCGCCAAGCGCGTGTTGAGCATCGCTCCTGTCGGCATCGCGTACCGACAACCCTCACCTCTAGGTGCTATCAGTCAGTGATCTGTGCCCTCTGCAAGCTCCCTCTCGGCCTCCCGGACTTGGGACCCGAACGTCTCAGGATCTGGTGTGATCCATGGCGAGACTGTACTACGCCTGACTTCGCCTGAGTCGAGAGGCTAATTTGCAATTGGACGCGGTGCGAGCGGGCTCAGCACGTGGCGGGCAGTTGCCGCTCTGGCACTCTCAAATTTAGAGGGGTTTGAACAGTGAAACCTAGTTGACAAGACCGCATGACTAAGAAGCTCCAAGTCGAAGAAGTAACTACCGCTGTCAGGAGACTAAGGCCGCTCACAGCTGTACTACCTGCAACTACAGAAAGTCAGCAAGTACCTTGATTTCGATGCCACTCAGAATAT